ATCCAGATGTTTTCCAGATATTCTCCCAGCCCCACACGCTGGCAGGAGGCCAGACTGTGCTGGGGGCTGCGACCAGGGGGAGAGGCAGCCCGGGCCCTGCATCCGGGATGCAGCTGGAGCGGGAGCCTTGGTCAGGACGGGGCTTCATACATGAAATATAGTTTATTTTACACAATATTTATAATAAAGACGGTCTCTGGCCATCCTCAGGCTGATGCACATGTGGCAGTGGGCAGGGCGGCGGGCGGCACAGCCAGGTCCATGCCAGACTCCTCTCTCTGGGTCTCAACTGGTGCCCAGTGTGGGGTGCAGGGTGGTCTGCAGGCTGTGGGGGTGCATGGGGTGCCCAGCACGGTGTGCACAGTGTGGGGGTGCACGCTCAGGGCAGCCCCGTGCGGTCTCGCCCTGCAGTCATTTCCTCCACCCCCTGCCGCAGCCGCAGCGTGTTGGGGCAGCTGGACACCCAGGCAGGACCTGTCTGAGCCGGGGCAGGTCTCCCGCCTTGGCCTCTGGTGCCACCGCGGCCTGGGGCATCCCCCCTTCCCCCGCAGTTGCCGAGGCCTCTGTGCAGTGTGGAACCGCAGAGGCAGCGCCGGGGCGCGCGGGGCTGCTCGTGCGCTCCCCAGAGCGGGATCTGCGGGGAGCAGCTGGGTGCAGGGGCCCCACGTAGCTGCGGCACTCGCTCTTCCCCAGGCACAAGCGGGATCCACAATTCATGCTGGCCGAGGGGTGGGGAAGCTGGACCCGGGCCAGATCACTTCCTTCCCCCAGGCCCTACTGACAACAAAGGCCTTTAAAAGGTCTCTCAGCCACACAGGAAACAAAAGATTCCTCGGGCCTGGGACATACTGGGATTCAGCCTAAATGGTGCCAGTCAAGTAAACTGCAAGACTCTTGTTTTGCTGCTCCCAAGAGGCAACAAAGAGCCAGGTTAAAAACAAACGTTTAGCTGTAATTAGGCACTAAACTTGGAAAGCAGTGGGGCTGAGGAGTGAAACAAAACAACACAACCCCCACATGGTGCCTCGTTCTTGTATCTACCAGTAACACCCAAAATGAGCAAGTTGAAGGATAAAAAAGGCATCAGTTTGGTTACCACACCTAACACTACCCAAAAGAGCAAGTGCAGCTTTCCGTGTGCTCGCAGTGCAATAGTCCATACTGCAGAGCCACAGAGAACAGCATCATCTTTATCATTTTGCCTAAGGAGTAACTGCTGCCCCTTGCTGCACTGCAGGAGCCCCGGCTGAGCTTCCTTGTCCCCGGGAGCCACTTGGCCCCACTCCTCTTCAGGAGCGTCCCAGGCTCGAGCAGCTTTTCTGCAACTTGGGGCTGCTGCTGCTCCTTTTGGTTTCACCCCTTCTCTCCCAAGGCTAAGGGCCAGCACCAGAAGCAGCCCCAGACGCAGGACACACAACAAGACAGTTACACCTGCTACTCATTTTATTGTATTTTATTTGAGTAAAACAAACTTCAGGGCTTGCTAAACAGGAATTGTTCAAGTCAAAACAAACCAAACGCTAGTTGGTGTGCGTGGGGGACAGCACAGCAATCGTGGGGTGGGGAAGGGGGAGAGGGGGGCACGGGAGAGCAGGGTCCTCATGAGACGAGGGCAGGAAGGTGCCTCTCCTGCGGCCTCACCAACACAGCCCAAGAGCTACTCACCAACAGCTTCAGAATATTCTTAAGTCGAAGATAAGAAATACAGCGTAACTGCCATCCTTAACCAGCACAGGAGGGATTTGCCTTTTGCTTTATAAAAAGATTAATAAAAAATATTGAAAAATTCTCATCTCCTTTTATATTTTTAACCTAGTAGAATTCTGAAGTTTCTTAGAAAACTATGTTGCCTTGGAAAGAGCACTCAGGTTCACAATCAGCTGCAAAGAGGATACACAAAATGCCTACAAGGGGTTTGGGGCTTCAGCACACACACCAGGCCTAACAGTGTACACACTACACAATGGTGAAAAGCAGGGTGTATTTTTTTCTCTTTAACCATGCTAATTTTGTTAACTTTCAACATAAAAGAAAAACAATGTTTTTTTAAAAGGCCCTAAACTTAACTGTTACATTAAAAAAAAAAAGTTAAAAAGAAATCATAGCAGTTTGGTCCCAACAAGTTAACATTTAGATGTTTATTCACATGCTTCATTGTTTTCTTATTTATAAGAACCAAAAATAGTTTCCAAAATTATCATTTAATTGATGTTACTACTACATACGTAAAGGCCTAAAAGAAGCAGACTATGAATTAAAAAATTGAATACACAATACAGGAGAATAAATTTAAACTGTTGAGTTAATCCCAACCTCTACTATTTCAAATTATAAAAAGAGAAACAAATGTCAAGACTACTGGGTTAAGATGGGCACAAACTGAAATCCACATCGTCTTCAAAGCCTGTTACCAAAAAACCACCCGACCATCCAATAAGGTCACAGACAAGAGAAAATCCAGGATCTCACCCAGCACTTGACCTTATTCAGTCCGGAAGGTGTATCCAGGAGCAGATCCAAGCATAAATGATTTGATCAGTTCTAGTCCAGGCTTGGGGAGTGCAAGCTCTGCCAATGCAGGTGACTTCGGGTAGGTTCAAAGCTCCCTCTGAGGTTCAGCACTTCAGGGTCACCCCAGCAGCCCCAGCCCTGCTGTGCTGAGTCCCCTCAGCTTGCCAGGGCTTTCGGGAAACCCGCAGCTGCTGCGGCTACTCGGCAGCTGATGGCAAGTTGTCCTTTTCCTCTCGGTTTTCTGTTCCGCTTTCGTCATCTTCAATTTCTCCTTCTTCCCCACTGAATTTGTCATGGGCCCACTTGGGGCTGGTGCTTGATTTTCGGAACATGAAGCGACCTCTTCCTCTGGGGAAAGCTCCCCGACCACGGCCTCTATTCACCCACTTTTCAGCACCTTCGCCCTCTCGGTCATCGTGCTGCACAGGAGGAAGCCAATGGCATCAGGTGAAACAGCCCGAATGCTCACAAAGCAACAGGTGCAGGAAAACTTGCATTTATTATACACCTCCCCACCGCTCCCCACATTTATGCCACCAAGAATAGCGCAGATACGACTGGCAACAAGTTGGACCGTACTTCCAGCCTAAAATTGACCCATTTCAGTACGTATATTGACCGAGACGACATTGGGCACCAAGAGCAAATTACAATTTTGCTTCTTACAAGACAGAGAAAATTTAAGTTTTCTTGTTTGAGATACATGACAGAAACACCGCATTATTTAATAAGATGAAAGATCTCAAGTACGCCAAATTAGGAAGAGAAGGTGACTTCCTGTCTACATTTGGAACTACCTTTTCTCCAAAGAACACAGTAATTCAGACCAGATTCTCCTGGACTAATGCATGTTAGTACGGGACGCTGCTAACCCCAGAAATAGAAGGTAACATCCCTAACCCATCCAGGAAGTGGACTCGTTATGAGGACAGAAGAAGCCAGAAATGTAGGTGATCTGCACCACAGACCAACAGATCTAAGCTGTGCTTTTCACACTAGTGGGAAACATGTGGTCTTTAATTAGCCTCTAGAATTTTACTGAATGGAAAACTATTCTACAATGAACAAAAAATTTTTAACGAGTCAGAAATTTCTGAGGAAGTGGCATGTGAGGCCTAAAACTCCTGAATTAGTTTAACAATAGCTTGTGCTTTCCCCTCTAGAAGATGTCAGACCAGATTCCCCTAGTGTTCATACACGTCTCCGTACTTCAGACACATACCAAGTAGTACTTCTTGCTCTTGGGTGTGTACTCTGGATCCCACTCCTCATCTCTGGTTCGCTTCTGAAAGTCATTGTTGCCACCACCACTGCTGTTGTTGTTGCCTGAGAAGTTGCCTCTGCCCCAGCCTCTCCCCCTGGCTCTAAACTGCTGTAACAATAAGAAGTGGAAGAAAAAGCAGTTATGACCAGGGTGGTTATGGCCAGAAGCCCCATTTCAGTTACCTAACCCAAACTGACTGATGCACATTATGCTGCTCATCAGGATTGCTGAGCTGTCACCAACGCACGAAAGCTTCCAGGCTTGATTTTGCTCAGTGCATCTCGAGTTCAACTGCCCTGTCTATTCCCAGTACTGTGGTACGCTCTCCAGATTCCGTGTTGAGTTGGAAGTAATCGCATTTTGGCTCATCACCCACAACCAGTCAAGGCCCTCAGGGTTTCTGCTTCACAGTAGGCTTTAATTGGGCAAGAGCAGTACAAAATGGCCACATTTTGCCCAATGTGAGAATTGATACTGGCAGCAGGAGGAGGGGCTGACAAGAACTTACGAAGGTCCCTCTAGCTCTTCCTCTCTCGTTTGGACCAGTGAATTCTTTAGTCCCAAGTCGGGACTTGTCAAAACCCGTGGTGCTTTCCTCCCGCTCCTCAGTTTCTTCAGTGTATTCCTCTGCTTTCAACGAATGGGAGGACCGTGAAGATGACGAACTGGATCTGGATCTCTCACGCACCCTTCGGTGTTTCCTGTTTCAGTGACAGGAAAGAGGAAGTGAGAGGGACAAAGTGGTTAGCACCTCTGTGAACTACTGAACCATTTCTTTATCACTCCCTATCAACGTAATACTCGTCTTCTGCTGCGAGAAAGGAAAGCTATAGTAACAGCTCAGGATCAGCTACAACATACAGATCTAGCAGGTCGCAAGCCCTCTCCATCAAGACTGGAGAGGCAAAGGTGTTTAAACCATCTATTTTGAGATAAACATGTTTTTTTTTCAGATCAACACTATTTATCTTCTTGGTATTCTTTCTCCTAAAGGGGCACCAACATACACAGTTTTAGTCAAATGGAAAAATAAGTTAATAGCAAAGGATTGCAGTAACCTTAAAGTGAAGTTACTTAAAAGACAGATATTCTCTATGACACAATAGAAAAAAAAGGAAAAGCAATTCACCCATCATGACAGTCTTCTCATTTACATTTAACTGTTGTTCAGTGTTTCACATAAATATAAGGATACCAGGTATATATGACCTCCACTGGTGTAGTTATGTCAACAGGCATACAACTGGGTATCTGTGACACTGTCTCCAATCTTAACAGCAGAGGTATGAAATAAAAAAGAAATTGCTTAGTTTACAACCTACTTTTTCTTTGAGCTTTTGTGAGTTTTCTCAGTTTTCTCAGCTGATCTTTCCCTTGAGTGACTTGAATCTCTCGAGTCCACCGATTCTCTTGATTTATCACGTTTAAGATCTCTTTCCTTATGTTTTTTACGGCGTTCAATATCAAGGCGCAGGTCAACAGGGTCATCTTTATATTTCCCTTCAGCCTAAAAAAGCAGGGAAGAGGGAAGAGTTTAGTAGAAAGGTTTACAGCGTACCAGTTCAGCACCATTACTTTGCTACTGACTGCACAGACTTCTGGAGAGCAGTAGTTTATCTGAACACTAATCAATAATCCATTCTAAGATGTAAAATGTTTCACTATTAAAGTCAGCTTATATGCTCTAGGTGACCCTGCATGTGCAGGGGGGTTGGACTAGATGACCTCTAGAGGTCCCTTCCAACCTTAAGCATTCTATGATTCTATGATTTCTTAAACTTCAGCTTTCTTTTATGCCCCAGAATTGTAGCATGAATAAAATGTCTAATGCCCTATGGATGCTTGTTGCCAAACAGTCGCATGCTCACCACCCTGCTGACAGACACCATCAAGCCAGGATGGAAGGAATTTTAATCAGCAGGTCTGAAACAGTACACAACGAGAAGCAAAAGCTGTTTGCCACTTGGAGATAACCAAGACTGTGATTACTGATTAAAGCAACAAGAGACAGAGGCTGCAGAAATGCAGCTGTCATGCTGATTTAGAAAAATGCCAACATCTTGCAGATCCTTTAATATGTCTGTCAACAAGACTTGCCCTTCATCTCCTCCCAAATTGACAGGCACTATATGAAAGATAACAAGAAAGCATCAGAGGAAGGTATATTTTTCCCTCCCTACACCACACTGGCAAGAACTAACTACCTGCTGCTTCATAGAAGAAAAAACCTGAAAAAATGAGAAGCCTGAAAAAATGAAGAAAATTCAAGAACTATTTTGTTCTTCAATTAAAAATAAATCAATTATTGCTTGCTTCAAGTTCTATTGAAATTGCTGCTTACATAGGGCTTAAAATATTTTCTTGAGAAAATGAAAATAGTTGTTACCTGTATAGACTCTAAGACCAATGGTACTTGGATGAAGTTTTGCCATGACTGCACATAACAGAGTAGCAAACTGACACTGGCTGTGGTTTTGACAAGCATTCAACTGAGTAGCACTACTTTGTGGGAAGGCGGCACACACACTGTCACTGGCTGTTGCCTCCATGGCTGTACAGAGCTCAATGACTGCTAATTTAGACTGCCTACATAATACTTTCCTTGGGAATTGTATGACTTGCTAAGCAATATACATCAGATTAATTGTCTTGAATTAAATACAAAAGATTAGTAATTCTCTAGCTATTAAGATTTTTACTTACATGAGTTTCTAAACACTTTTTTGTTTAAATAAAAATGTCAAATAACGCAGGAGTGAGCAGATTTTTTTTTTTTTGCTCTTCTATTTTTCCTGGGCAAAGAGCTTTAATTTCTACTCTGAGAACACAACTGCTCCCAACACGATGGATGACAGATAAGTGACAAAATCAGCAGCAGCTCCCTTATGTGGTACAGCAAACACCTATTTGGGTTTGTGAGGGCACGTCTTTCACGGAAGGCTGGCAAGCTGTTTGGAAACCACGTTTATAATACGCTCTGCCAAGCTGATGCTCAGAGTTCAGGCCCATCAAATCCATCTCACCATCGTCCATGTCAAGCCACAAGTGTGTTTGGAAAAAATCGGAAACAAATATGAAAGAAGTAAGGTTTCATCAGCACTGTTTAAAATCTCTTCAATGTTCAATGTAAATATGTATGAAGGTGAACAAACAAAGGTTAAAATCTCAAACATTTTACGGTAAGCCACTTTTATGATTGTTTACAATGAGTTTAATGGCTTAACATTGTTGTACTCAGAAAAGCTAATACACTAAATTCAAACTGGTCTGGATCTACTAGAACAGGTGCTGAATGTTAAAGTAACAGCAAACAGAAATGATACAGTAAGTTGTTAGAACAATATTTATCATCTGCTTAATAGTGTATTTGGTTTAGATAAGTATTTAGTTTTACTTTCCTCTTTCTGACATGCATGTCTTTTTGAAAACATGGTTGGAAATATCACGTGTATACAATTGATTTAATAATACTTACAAGCAGAAAAATATCACAAAAAGTCTCTTCTCTCATCATGGGCACTTGTTCCAAAAATCCTCTCATTTTTCTCAAGCTCACCTCAATTGACTTTGGGGTCATTTACCATAGTCTAACCACTTCATAAAGGTTGTTGATACATTTTTAATAAAAATTAACCCTTTGTAGTTCATTTTTAGAATTATGCCCATCCTTAAAAGAAAAACACAAACTTAAGTAGAGAGTAATTTAAACAAAACATCACTGTTAAGTTCATGCCCAATGTACTCATTTTGTTGAATTAAAGTAATCAGAGTAACAGTTCACCTTGAAGCCAGGATCTCTGGAAGTTTTCGTTTCCTCTTGAGAGAATCCATGTTTTCTAAAAGTACTGGGAGAAATATCTATTCTCCTGAAAACAAACACACACAATGCCCTTAAGATTCATACATAAAAAACTAAGAGCACAGCAGCACAACTTAAAGTCATATTCCCACACAGAATATGACACAGTCCAATGCACCAACCTGTGGATTTCAGGGCTCTTTTTGTTTTTAGCTGCATCTTGTTCCATTCCTTTCTTTAGGTATTTTGTAAAGCGCTCATTCAGTGTCATTCCTGAAGACCCAAAGTGATGTTCTGTGGGGAGTTGAGTGAACAATGTCATTTAACTAATACCATTTTTTTAAAACATGAAAAAGTGAATCAATCCTACATCTTAGGCAAATTCATATGAAGCACAGATGACAAGCTCTAACTAATACTGTTGACAAATGACAGCCATTCTTTTGAAATTAAGAGATTTCACTTTACAGATATAATTTAATTATATATATTTTAGTAAACTTGTATATATAAATTCTAAGTCACAACCACCTCCCTGAATATTGGATACAACAGTATTATCTATCGAGTGGTTTATCTAGCTTAGAAAAGAGAAAGGTAAGCAGAAACTTAATAACTGCACCTTACTACAACCTAATGGGGAATTATAGAGAAGATTGAGTCAGACTCTTCAGGAGGTGCATGACAAAAGGACAAGAAGCAATCATTGCAAGGTGCAAAAGAAACATATAAGGAAATATGTATATAGGATATAAGGGAATATTTTTCTCCCACAGAGTGATTACGCATTGAAACAGGTGTTCTATCTTCAAGTTTTTCAAAATTCATTTGAGAAAGCCCCAGGCAATCTGATCCAACCTGGAAGGAAGCTCTGGTTTGAGCAGCTAAACTACATCTCCAAAAGTTCTTTCCAAACAAAATAATTTTAGCATTCTGTGACCATCTGGCTGCTATTCTAATCTAGCACTGCTCCTGAAAAACAACTCTGAGTATTAGAGTGCATAAAACCTGCTTATTGGGACAAAGATCAGAAGAGTCAACCTTTACCTGAGGACACATTGATGTCTGACTTACCTCTTACATGATGGACTATAGTCACTATATGTTGAGCAAACAGTTCAGAAGGACTTCGTTGAGACTGAGCTGACTGAATATGATGGAAAATAGAACGAAATTCTTGCTCTTTTTTGTTGCTGTGCACAAGGTCACGACACAGCTTCCGCTCCTGAGCCAGTATGCCACTTGGACTAGAAAAAGAACAGATCATAAGGAATAGAAGGGCAAGATAAAGGAAAGCAGTTTGATTAGTGTTTCAGAGGTCAGAAGTCTACTGCACTTTTAGTTCTATTTAGTCATCTACAAAAATCAATAGCAAGAGTAAGCTGTTATTTAAGCATATCTGAAATATACTAACCCAGTTTAATAAAACAGTAATTCACTTAACAGTGCAATAACTCAGATCACTTGTTCTGTTATCTGAAGAGTCATACGAAACCTAAGATTCACAAGCCAATTCTTATGCCACTAGGTGGTTGGGATCTTTTCCCATGATTTCTAAAATCCAGACTTTAGATTTCTAAAATCCTCTAACATCTTGCAGAGCACATTCATACTTGCTGGTTACTGCTTTAGAAAAATACTTTTTGGAGCAACTTTTCTTAGTCTTAAGATTTCCTAAAACAATGCTGAAGTGGCTCAAATCTTTGTAGAGTTTCAACAGGACTGTGCTGGGAATAAGAGTAGTTAAATGTTCTCCAAAGGAATTACAGATCATTCAAAGTGCACTGTTACATTACCGTACCAAACTCCTAGCAGCAAGAATATACAAGTACTGAAGCATCTTCTCATTCCAGTGCATTGTGAAGTGTGATCTAGAAACATTTATAACCTAAAACAATCTTGTATCAATTTGGAAAGAAGGCAGAAGTTATTTAACCTTCATCTTCCATCGTCTGCAAACCCTCCATCGCACACAGGGTTCATACAAGTATTTTAATGCCAGAAAAAATGTAAAGTTTACGACCACAAATGTAGCATATGCTGCAAATTTTGTTTAGCGTTCCCCAAAACTGGCCAACCTACAAAGCCCCAGAGGAAGAGGCGGCTGAGATCACTACGTAGATTGTCACAATCATACTTACCGTGCAAGATCTTCATCAAACGAATCCATTCGGATATTGACTTGGGCCTCCTGGGTAATGGAAAAGGAGGATTTGCCAGGAGCAAGCCCATCTCCTTTGGCTCCTGGTTTCTCCTTTACCTCTGAAGTCTTCCTTTGTGGGGGGGAAGAACTTTTTTCCTGGCTTGCTTTGTAAGTGGTCACTCTAAAATTCTTTTCAGGAACAAATCCCCTGTGACCTGGTTCAGCTCGCTTGGATGCTGGTCTCTCTTCTTTTTTAGATCTTTCAGAATAGTTTTCTTCCTCTGCTTCATCAGCTTTCTTTTGCTTCTCTTTTCCAGGTGGTAGGAAAACTAGGCCTTCCCATTTTCCTGGCCTATCTTCATCCTGACCTTTACTAGTTGTTGCCACCACTTTAGACATAAATTTGGGCTCATCATCAAATTCTGAATCTTTTCGGCCCTTTGCCTTGTCTTTCTTCTCCTGCTCATCTGCTTCCTCTTTGCTGTAATGACTTTCCTTGTGGAACTCCGACATCTTTACCTTCTCAAAGTCATCACGGAACTTATAGCGTTTGGGCGACTGACTACCACGGTATCCCTTTTCGGAGTCAGTTTTGGAGGCATATGAGTCAGATTTTATCTTTCCATCTGTTGATCCCAACTCAGAGAAACTCCCTTTTTCTTTTGATTTTTCTTTTTCAGCATTTGTTATTTTCTGTTCCTTGTCTTTCCCATTCTCAGTCTTCTGCTCTTCCAGATACCTATTCATACAACAAACATTACAGTAATTCTCCTCTGAAAAATCAAAGACATTAATATTTCAGCTGAAAGCAGACAGAATTTAGAAAATACCAAACTACACATATACAGAAAGCAATCTCTAGGGCCATAACAGTTCAATGCTAAAGCAGACAGCTCAACCTTGGTTTCAACTTTATGTTCACAATAAATTCAGCAAATGTAGAAGAAAATGGATATGCAGAATGGATGATATTAGGCTGTGGAACAAATGAAAACAGCTCATCTATAGACTGATTTTAAGGAAAAGAGTAACATCTTACCCAATCAGTTTAGTTACTTACAAACCTGGTTCAGGAGAATAACACATCAAAACTTTCAACCTGGGCTGTTCTGCTTTAAACAACATACTGGGAATAAAAGTCTCAAAAGCTACTTCAAATTTTGGATGCAAGTTTCTTAGGTAAGCTAAATATTTCATGACAGACTGTAAATACAAATAGAAGCAAAAAGGTTAAAAGGAGAAAAATATTCATTTTGCTGGCAGAAAACAAAAAACTTAGCGAGAACTGTAGTTTTGACTAACTATATGTTTTAAAGCATTTATAAAGCAAAATCCTAGTTTTGTGGAAACAGCACAAAAGGACATCAGTTCACTGCTCCAAAAAGCATAGAGTTAAGTAGTTTTCAAAATTCATAGATCTTTGATCTCCGAATCCAAAATAACTTCAAAAAATATTAAGAAAAACAGACTGAAAAACATTTGTGAATGCTACTGTATCTTTTGAAACAGAGGGTCACCTTAAGGTACCAGTCTGTAATAGAATAAACAGGCAAATAGGATTATAGTGAACTGATGCCTTTTATGTGGAAGGTCTTCTTTCAATTTCAGTAATGAACTTGGTGATCAGTTCATCATACTATCCACAAACACAGGCACATGCACCACGGTTCCACCTGTCACAGGTTGCTCGCAGCAGGACATGAAATCTTTTTTTTTTTTTTTTTTTGCCAATCTGTATCTAATGCAATTCAAGAATCTCAGCTGGATAATAACATTAACTTAAAAGATAAGGCTGCTTAAAAACATCTGACCACTATCATTTGTTAGTAAAAGTGATCAACATAACAGTACAATAATTTGAATCTTTAACAGAAGAATAGAGACATTAGGTTTCTAGTGTGCAACTATCAGGTTGCAAAATAATAATTAAAAAATTCACCAGGCACATCTACACTTTAAACTAGAAGCTGTTTTGCAGAGGACCTATGTAATCTTTTTAATTAACCAAGTTAAGCCAGAAAATCTTCAGCTTGCTTCAACAGAGGGCTAGGTTTATGTCATGTTCTATAATTTAGACGGAGGCAGGCCCAAGCAGCAGGTAAGCTGCTAGCACTGCACACTGTGCGTGGAGCTCATTTCAGCTGCAGCCCGTGTTCGCGCTCGGAGCCCGCGCAGGCTCCCAGAGCATGCCCGGCCGTGCGGCCCAGCTCGTGAGAACATGCCACAGCAAAACACAGCACTTGCCTTTTGGAGAAGGCTCCTCCTCCGGGAGCTGTTGTTTCCTCCTTCTGAGATGTGCCGTAAATTGAACTGATTGGTGTTGGACTTTTGCACACAGGGCTCTTCCTTGTTGGGCTCAAACCTCCAGAGCCATGATCAAATGGACTCTGATGAGAACCTGCCTGAAAGGAGGTGCTGCTTGGTAAAACAGAGCTCAGCTGTGACTGGCTGGATAGCGGAGGGCTTGACTTTTGCAGCGGACTTGGCCGAGGAGAACGACGCCTTACCACGACTGACTGGAGAGGGCTTTTCAGCACAGGACTGCGTTCCCTTGGGCTAAGCTCAGGCACAGCAGCTCTTGATGCTGAACTTGTACCATAGCTGGTCACATCTTGCCACTGTTTTGATCCCTCAGATGCCTTGGCATCTTGAGCTGCTGCTCCTGAAAATGGTTGCTCCTTAGAATCATCACCTTGATTATCTCCTGTAGCCTGAGATGCGCGGGTATCCTTGGAAGATGACTTTTTCTCTTTTCCAGACTTACGCTTGGAAGACTCAACTCTGCTGTGATTTGAGGAAGATCGGGAAGAGGAAGACCTCCTTGACCGATCAGATGATGACTTATCAGAGTTTCTAGAATGACTTCTAGACCTTGGTGAAGGAGACCTTCTCTTGGGTGAACGAGATCGTGACCTCCCTCTTCGAGGGCTATATGCTTGACGATAATTTTGCCAGTTTGACCTGTAATTTCCATATCCTCCTCGGTTATACTGGCTCCATGGATAAAACCCTCGATTACGGCCACGGAAATAATAGGGTCTCCTGTATCCTCTATTATGGCCTCTGAAATCTCGATTCTGATACACTCTTGGATGGTTCCTTTCTCTGTTATGAGATGGAGAATATGACCTTGAGCGAGACCTAGAACTGATTAAAAAAAAAAAGAATGCAATATTTTCAAGTTTATTCCTCTCACAAAACTGTATTTGAACCCTTACAGAAATTAATTTTACCTTTTTTAAGCTTTAAAAATATTTTTTCCCTCATCCAACTGAAGTGCTACACTTTGCCCTCAACAAATTGCAATGGAAATAATTGCCACCTACAATTCTGACAAACAAGGGACTTCGGAATTACTGCAGAGACCATAATGTGCACACACTGCGTTGCTTTTTTTTTTTTTTTTTTAAAGGATGAACATGGCTGCTACCCACCTTCAAGAAAGTGGCATGTCTCAAATTTCAAGCTCTTACAGCTCAAGGCCAAAGTAACATCTCATCTTTCACAAAGAGGCATTTCTCAATGCAGTTCATGCTACTCATAATTGGAACAGATCCAAATCTTCCCCTTCGTGTGCCACACTATTTCGTACGCTTCTGAAATCTTGACGATCAAGATGAAGCCCCACTTCTTTGTCAGATGAGTTAAAAGAATTAAAAGACCTCGAAAAGAGAGCAGCAGTACTGCAGTAAGTGGTGCACTGCTCTATAGGTAAAGTTTCGAAAGGTGCATCTTTTGCTGTAAGAGCCTGGAACTCCATCAAATAAAGCGAGGCAGCAGTCAGAAGTTGGGCGTTCGCTCTCTAGCCTGATGCCACGAGATGGCACTGCTCAATGTCCCATCTGCTTGCTTCCAAGAGCACAGGTTATTAATAAAGAAGAAGACTTTAAGTAGAAAACCTGTAAGATTCCAGATTTAAAGGGCATAACATTAAGGGCTGTTTCATTAGTCTTTTCCAGTACATTTTTGGAACTGCAGTTGCATACTATTTGAAAGCACCACGTAGCTCAGGATTGAAAGCCAACTTTACAGTAAATATTTTACAACTATTAGAAAACTATAAAGTTCTGTTGAAAGGCTGAGATTTTTGCCTTAGTAGAGCAGAAAATGTCCAAACTAATAGGTTTAAGTAAGAAAGAAACTTTCCAAAATGAATGTTAGTAAATAATATTTACAGATGTCATTTCCAGATTCACTTCTTACATTAAGAGAGATCCAAGTCATCTCTAAAACACCCACTGGTCATACTCTAATAGACATATGCTCCCTCCACCCCGTTTTTCCAGACTGGCAATAGAGAGAACCCACTGCTGTTCCCTATTTTCCCCTGCCCACTCCCAAAGCTTAACAGAATAAAAATCCTGCCATTTGAATTCCTAAAACGTTAATGTACATACAGGCAGTTAAACTGAACTTTAGATCTATTTTTATTTTTTCCAACTATCAAATATGTTAGAGCTTAACAGGAAACAATTTATTCATACTACAGTTTTTGCTGGCAAACTGTTTAATGATAATTTTAACATGTGCCCTTTCCTTTACTTGGAGCAAACAAAAAAATCTAGTGACTTACCTAAGAAACCTCTTCACTCAAAAAATGACAACAAATAAGGAGGAAAGGCAAGGGCAGACAGCAAGAATGAACCAATTAAAAGAGAAATCCTATTCAAAAGCATTAAGCAGAACACATACACTCCCATTTTCAGACAACTACTGCATGTTACCAATTACCAGTAAGGGACCTGTTGTACACTGCCTCCAAAAATCTATCCTGTCATTTTAGAGAGGTTTGCAGTAGGATAAAAGCCTCACTCTAGCAGCTGCAAGGACTATCTAGAAGAAATAATTTTTAAAAATACAGTAAAGTGCTATGCAAAAGAAACAGCAAGCAGTGGTAACTCCCAAGTCTGGTAGTCTCTGTAGCTAGCTGGCTAAAATGCACTACTTTAAAGTCCACTGTTTCAAGTGCATAAAAATGCAAAATAAAACCATAAAGCAAATTAAGTATCATTAGGCAGATTCAAACACGAGAATGCCAGGGGGAACACCCAGAACAGAACGTAAGCCTTTGGAATGAAGGCTAGGAGTAAAATCATTTTCATGAGGTACACTGAAATACACTACAATGGATTTTTATGCTAAAATAACACATTGAACCTACCTCAGAGAATACACTAACTCCGTACAAGATGATTTGTCTGCACTAAGCCCCTCCATTTTTTTTAAGATGCTATTACAAAGTGCAAGTAAGTTCAGCAGCAGCACAAACGACCATGTATGTACACGGTGTCTTCATTCCAACTGTCAAAGTTGCTTCATAGTTAGGCAGACATTCCCAAACAACAACACATCTTCCAGCATTCCAGCTTCTTTCTGCACAGAACTCGGCTTGACTCAAGTCTCCGCCTCTAACTTGGTTTTGTCCTGTCCTCTCTCCAACTGTATATTACAGCCTCTGCATTTTGAAAATCTTTAATTGTTAACAGTTGCATGTTTTTAACGATTTTCACAATTGTTATTCATTTAAGATTAGTGAAAAAAAGAGCTGAATATAATTATACCAGTCCAACTGGAATGCTCCTGCAAGATATAAGATCCTTAACTAAAAGGAGAGGAAAATACCAGGTTATCCATATCCACAAAAGAGATAACCCTTTAATTGGCCTAATCAGAAGCAATTCAGGGAGGTAATAACTATTATGCATGTAACTCATTTCTCAAAATTAAACTGAAATGAAAATATCATTATCTATCCAGAATTACCATTTCAGTTAACTGACTCCTATATGCTGAGGGGAAGGGAAGGGAAATGGGGAAAAAAAAAATCTGTCTTTCATAGCAGTGTTTTAAACTGACATTCAATCTCCTATGAAATCATGGCAGGTAAGAAACATATCTGCAAAGGCCCCTTAAATCTGGGATCAATTAATTCAAAAGCTGGGGAGAGCAGGGAGGGAGAGGGAGAGAGACAGAGATTTTAACAGAACACATGAGCGTGTTTTGCTATGGAATTTCCCAACTGTTCTTTCCTGTTCCGACTATGGAACACAAACTCAAATACTCTCACTACTACTACTTACATTTGCCTTGCTAATCAAGGCAGATCAAATCAAGATCAAATGCATTTCAAGTCTGCTAAAGAGAAAAACAAAACAAAACACAAACAAAAAATACCTTACGAGTTTATTGTATCATAAAAAGCTGAGTTTTGCACCTTGCCCTGCTTTGGCAATTTCAAGAAATAGCTAGGTTAAAAAAAAAACCCTCTGGCAACACAGAGAAACAGATAACTTATTCTTCTAGCTCACTAAAAATACTTCCAAAAGTATACAGGTTGGCAGGAAGCAGCCTAAGGCACAGAACGCTATCTATTCTAGGATCTAATAAAAGGCTTTTCATGGAAAAGCACTAAGCGCCAAACCATCTGACCAGGACAGAGATCAGAAAACCAGACTGTTACACCCTCTGACCTGGAGCCACATGAACTTACCTAAGCCTGCGCTTTCTTGATCGTGAGACAGAGCGAGAACGGGAACGAGATTTGGAGAAGGATCGTGAGCGGGATCTTGATCCAGATCTCGAACGAGAAGAACGGGATCCAGATTTTGATTTGTTAGTTTTAGACATCTTTGCAATCACCTGTCAGTTACACCTGAGGGAAACAGGGAAATAATATCTTTGAAAAATGAAGTTACACAGGAGACCTGAAAGAACAGGCAGCATCTGGCAGTTTGGAACTACAAAGTGAAATGAAGCACGATAAAACTGGAAATAGGAATATTTGAACTGTCTGCCTACTAAAAGAAAAATGGAATTGGACTCAGAATAGAATGTGGGTTTTTTTTTTGTTTTTCCAATTTAAAAAGGAAATCTGCAAAGAAAATAAAAGCTTTTAATCTAGAATAATTACAAATGTGAGTGCTACAATTAAAACATCAAGTTAATGCAAAAAAAAAAAAAAGAATAGGGAGAAGCCATTTTGTTAGCTAGAGCAAAAGAACCTTGAACAAGACAAACCATTTAATTTCAACCACAGCACTATCAAAACAGCCAGCTGCCACTATTAAAGAACAATGAAAAAAACATAAAGGAGGCTTACCATGAAAAAAAAATCTTCTCTGTAAATTTTCGGAAGAAATCACAAACAAAAATGATAATCCAAGATACCTGAACACAACGCCATTTGTACAGATCTGTCTAGCTATGAACCTCCAGATTAAGTCCTGGGTGTACATGTTCTATTTGCTTGTGTGGCTTATGCAGTTGCTATGATCAATTACAAGAGTACATCATCCAGTGAGGAGTTCTGTTGCAGCCAAAATAATTCAGAAGTCCTTCCAAATATTCACCCAGTCATTCAAATACTAAAGACAGAAGAGATTAAGTCGTAGCATTAAGTGACTTGACATAACTGCAATAATAAATGAATTACCTGTACTATTTTCAGGAATATATCCAGAAAAAAAGATAAACAGCCCCTTTAAAAATATCTTAAGTAAATAGTCTGATCACACAGTCGTTTCAATTATACTACTATCTAAACTATTATAAGATAAAGTTTTATATCTGTGAGCATGATTTTCTAGAGGATTTTCATTATGCTGTGCCTCAAAGAAAAAAGACAAACATTCAGGACAAAATAAAAGATACCCATTAACATAAGCATGGGGTTTCACATTGTTTACAGCTGAAGGTCCCACCACGTTTTAGATGAAATTCAGATCATTCTTTTTCAGCTGCTCAGGTTTTCTTGTACTAGGCATTTTAATTTTGGGATATTGTGAAGTTCAAGACTTCACACTGGCACCTTCCAACTTTCCCGTCTTCATGTTAGAAGCAACCTCCTTTTGTGACCTCCTTTCCATAAAGGGCTGGAAACAAACCCAGCATACCATAATGACAGGTCAGAGAAGCCTAGTGCCATTTCTGTTCCACAGTTATAGTGCTCTGAAACTTGGTAATAGTTGACCTATTTAATCCCTGTATCCAGCCATAAACAAAATTTGATCATGTTGCAAAATATGCTCCAGCTTTTTGATTCTCTGTTGGTTTCAGGAGAGCTCTTCAGCTTAAACGGAAAACGCTTTGGCCCTCGACTTGAGGAAATAAAGCTCCCTTCCTGCCCCAAACGAGCTCTATCACCGTGCCTAGAAACTTGAAGTTTCGGCAGTTGGCTGAAAGAAGATTGGAATTTTACCATTCCAAAAGTAGGTGAGGAATTTGAGAGCAACTGCTCTCAATAACATCGCAGAGGTTTCACTCACATCAGAAGCAACTTACTTTGCATTTAAGAGGCCACTGACTTAATCTTACCATCTGAATGAATTTCTGTTCCTTCACACAAATTATAGCAAGCCTAAGAGATGACTATATCATTGTAGTATATTGTAACTTTTGCATGAAAAGCAATGACTTTGGCCCAGTTTAAGTAGATGCTTACCTCTTTGCATGTTACTTTTTAAGCAGGCAGAAACCACATCTGGAATATTTAAAGCCATATGGATGGAAAGGGGAGGAGGAAGACTCCTGCATTTCCCTTGGCTTGGATTATACAAGCATAGAGTGAGTTTTATCGGCTCAGTCTGACTGAAAACTGACACCACAAAAACACCCTTAATATCTCAGCCAGAGTGATGCACTGAATCTGACCTCTCCACTGTCCATGTTAGAGCCAATACAGACAGAAATCTGAGGCCGGGGGGAACTCTACCTTTAGCAGCAGCACATAAAAATCATATTAAGAAAATCATGAAGCAAAAGAATTAAGTTAGTGTTGCATGGATTTTGTTGGAGTGTGTGGGGGGAATAAAATAAAAAAACAACAGAAAAATTAGGCATATCCATTCCCATCCTCCAGTTGCTTATTCCTCCCCTTATGAATCAGGGTAAGGAACTAATCCAGCTGCAAAGCAAGTAAAAAGCCAAAAAACCCCAACCTTGTAAGTGTCAACACAAGAGCACAGACTGGAAAGAAGCAATAGATCAGCTTTCCAGGAAGCATCAGGAATCATTTTTATTTACATATACAAGAATAGTAATAGTCTTTCATGAATATTTATAGTTGAATTCCCTACCAGGAAATTCTTTATGAATTTCTACCAGGAATTATATGAGTTCCCAGCAGAAAATCTTTATGAATTTCCCAAATCTCTTCCCAATTAGTGAAACTTGACATACGCTGAGGCAAAAAAAAAAAAAAAAGTCAGTGTAAACTATCTACACCTTTTGCCTGTATTTACGCAGGTTCAGTAGCAAAATTTAAGTTACTGAGTATTCCTTACCCTTCTGATTTATCACTCAAAAACGGATCTCTGTGCAGTGTTGCTCATGCTGTGGAATTATACATAGAGCAGAAAGAATAATACCACAAACTGAGAAAATTCCAGATACATAGCTTCCAGATTCAATTTTACATAGTCTGGATTTAACCTTCAGAACCAACTCCTGCAGATCAAACTTTTTAATATATACTTTTCATGGACCGACTTGAACTTCCAGTTGCTCCCAGACATCAAGTTAACAGGTATCCTTACTGAATATTCCAAACACTGTCAAAGCACTTTCAGGAAGAGCCCACGGCACTCACAGAAGCAAATGCTGGAGAAATGGGTCATTCTTCAGGAAAACTGATATTTTCCAGAGATGGAAAGTAAACTCTTATTTTAAAAACCACGCATGCTCCAGTTCTCCCATTTTACCATGCTGAAGAGGCTACACCAAGACATCTTAAGTATCTGAATATAGTCCATACTAGAAAGAATGGGAAAAAAAAAGTGTTTCCTGTTCTATTATTTATTTAAAAACAAACAGCACCAAGGATTAAAATAAATAAATATATCAACAAGCACTACCCACAGCAGAAGAAATGTTCTTATGGATGGCCACTTTTCAAGGAAAGAATATGTGGAAAGATTATTTTTCCATTTTTTTCTTTTAATTATTTAACTAAATACATCTGTTGAAACATCAACATTTCCAAAATCCATTGGCCAAAAGCAATCAAAAGTTTAGCACAGTAAAGAAAAACATGGAAAAGAATCATAAACAGCAAACAGTAATAGGAACAATTGATCAGTAGGAAGATTCATAGAAGAAGAATCATCAGGAACATGATCTAAATTGCATCTTAGAACCAGAGAACCATTCTCAACCAAGTCCAGGGACTTTTTAATCTCCTTATGGAATATAGGTTTTTGCTGGCTTTGTTAATATCAAAAATATCCAATAAACTCTGTAATTTCAGTATAGCTTTTTAATAAAAATCAATCCTGCAGCTAAGAACATGCTACAATTCAGCATATTGATATTTGTAAACTACATTTAGGCAAGCTAGTCTATAGTGGTTAGGATATTTTAATAGACAAGTATTATTAAAATTATTAATGACTTTCACAATGGCTCCTGTTATATCTTTTCGAATACTAAATCATTTTCCAAGAAAAAGAACAAGATTAGAGCTGGTCTGATAGGGCAGAGTAAAAGTGGCTTATACCCCAAGTATCACAATTACAGCTATGCTGCACTACACAGAGAGCTAAATACCATCCAAAGAGTTTCAACAACATTATCTGCTGCTTCCTGGACTATTCATTTTTGTGAAAGACTTCCCCTAAATACCCAGAGCACAGAGCAGTGCTTAGCTGTGCAGTTACCGAAATACTGGGAGGAAAACAAATACTCTTCTCAGTTTTGAGGTAGCTCAAAGACTCAACTATTTCCAGAATACAGAGACAGTACATCCTGAAACATGATTTTAAGGTTGAACCTCTTTCATGAGCAGAGTCAAAAAGTCCTGAGAAGGCCTCAGAACAGAGCTTAACACAAGTATTGTTTGTTTCAAATTGTTTAAAGAATTTTCAGGATTTTACTTTGATCCAGAGTACTTACTAGTCAAATATCAGTCTGGTATGTGTGCCAAGAGCTCTCATGCCTTAGAAGCTATTTTTAATCTTTGCCAATATTTTTTAAAGTTGTTTCATTCCAAACATGTGAGGTAACTCCTACTGGAATAGGAACCAAGTTTCTATGCTCTACCAGCATTCAAAAGGCTAAATAAACGAAATAACAGAGTCATTTCAGTTCCCTTATGTTAACACTGCAATTGTAAACTCATTGCAGCATCCATTTAGTCTTTCCAAGAATTAATGATTTACTTGTCAAAATAAAACATGCTCAGCTGTTCAACGACCAAAAAAGAGTTCTGAAGGAATCTATTCTGCTAAAACTTCCTACAGAGTACCCTGACTTTAAAGAGATGCTTCTAAATGAAACTGAAAGATGAACTGTGTAAACAGCTGTGGCTTCTCACTTACCTTACTATTTTCTCACTTAGCTTACCTTACTACTTCAATTTCTCCAGTGAGCACGTTGCTATGCCCCAATGTGCACACATACATACAGTTCCCCAAGCCTGTAGCAGGAAGCTGCTTCATGAAGCATTATGAGGTAAAGCATGTCTGGTTCTAGAGCAGGGACTACAGCAGGAGCATTTATACAGTGCTATGGACACTCCCCACCAGCTATCTGCGAACCTGAGGCCTCCTTTTTTCTTCCTGCTTATAGCTACAAAATTGCCTTCTCATGACACTGACTCCACCTCTGCCTTTAAAGGGACATGATTGTTCCCTGCCACAAGACAGGTCTCCTCTCCCAGCAACAAAAAAGCAGGGATTGCATGCATCCAATGGATATGTGCTCCTGGAACCATTTCCAAGCATGTTTTGAGACTGCTTTCCAGTCTGGCCCTAAGCTGCTCAGCAGAGCTTCCCAAGTAGTATAGCCTAATGTCTAAAAATACTGATATAAGCACTGATCAGAGCATGGTGAATTTAAGTTTTTGGTAAAATATTATACTGTTGGGAAAACAGATACTTTACAGCCTCTACTTTGGCATGAAAACTACAACATATAACATATGCGGTAACTCAGCAAGCACTGCATCTGACGAAACTGCACTTTTTGTCCCAAATTAGTTGGCTAAATTCACTCATATCACATATAGATAGCAATGGTTGTTTTCTGGAACTCAGATCTGAAATCACTGACATTAGTGACCAAATGCAAGTATCCAGTATAAAAGCCTGATTTCGAAATATCTTGTCCAAACAGGACCCACACCAGGAACTGCAGCCAACTCAGTTAACCTGACAAAGGCCAAAGTCAAGCCTTTTGACATTTAGCAGCAACTTTTGAGAACAGTTTTCTGTAAAGAGCCATTTCTACTTCTTTAAGAACTGGACAAAAAGTTAACACAGATGTCCCAGATTGCAGCTATTCCCGTTGATGTGCACTTTCACTACTTACAGAAGTTACAAGCTATTTATTTTAAAAGAATACTTTTAAGCAACATCAATTCTGGGACCCTGTTCATAGCATGGCTCTTCAAATGAGTCTTACTGACAGATGAGGAGTTTTTGAGATAACGTATGCAGAACCAGCAGTCTGGAAACTTTTCACTAAGTCACTTTTCTAAAATCTCAGGTTTGTTTCAAAGTTCAAATTTTGCCTTCTCTGTTTTTAAATCCTCTAAGTGCAATCCAGCAGAGTGGGAAAAATGGAAAAGAAAGCTCCTAGTCAGTACAATGGACTTTGCCCAGAAGACAGGCTTCTGTCATGAAATAGAGTCAAGAAAGTTAATATTTTACAAGTTCTAAGACTTCTGACAAAACTTAAAAAAAAAAAAAAAAGCTTAAGTTGGTTCCGCAGAATTTAAATTCTCTTTACATTGAAAATGTTATGCCCCCCAAAAAGCACAAAATAATCACTGCAAAACCCTAAATCACTTTAATTCAGACAATCCTTTTCACATTCATTCTTTCCTCTATGTTTTGGGCATAAAGAAGCATCTCACTTTTTTGCCAAATAATACCCATCTTAATGTACAACCATGCTGCTTTTGCTGCAAAATACTATGCAGGTTGGCAAAAATCTATCTTCTAATCTATTACAGATGCCAAATAAATGACAAATACAAACTAGAGTATCCCCAGGTGTTGGAAGTCGGCCGGGGTTGTGCAGGCCCTCCGAGAGAGCACAGCCCCGACTCTCTAACCATTCCTCTATACCCACGTGTATTGCTGTTTTTTTTTCCTTCAAATTCTCTGTAAGTAATACATAACATGGACTTCTTTGCGCAGCAAAATGAACAATAAAAAAAGAATTCAGCTAACATAGTTTAACTTGTAGTATACCCACACTAGAAGTAAAATAAGAAGGGAATATTCCAAGCCCCAGGAAAGGCAGTTTTATAATTTTTGCAGATTTTATTTTCTATTGTGTGCCTACCTGTGTGAATGGATTCACACCGTGCACCCTTCAACAGTCAGGACTCACTATCTCAGCTTTTCCAATTACGAAATCAGAAACAAACCTGAAATGAGAAGAAAAAAGCATTGAAAAAAAATCTTACATATACGTTCTTTCACAGATTAAAAGGTTTCAAAAGTTATTTGAAGATTATACTCGTTATGGAATAGTAATTGAGCTCTAGCCTCACCTAAGACTGTAGGAAGACTATTTCAGGGTTTATTTATTTTTAAAAGCAAAAAATACCAACCTTTTAAATATTTTTGTCATTATCTTTGTATTTGGTTAACAGTAAGAACTGTTAGCCTTTTTCCAGATATAGAAAGGAAGGCAGGGACGTGCTCAAAGCTTTCACCTGTAGTCCAGGAGCTTCATATTCCAGAATACAGTAAAGAACATTTCCATATGCCAAGACACGAGCCAAACAAAGAACATCTCTAATTTTCATAATGCTCTTTCCGCCCCGGAATTTGTTTCCTATTTCCGGTTGGCTTGTGCTACCTCATTTACTGTCTTTTTCCAGCCTCCATTCCTTTTCTGAAGTCTTTCAAGCAATACTCGTTATTTCAGACCTTTTACAAATGTGAAGCTAAGCCAAAGCTCCGCCACAGCCTTGTACAGTCCATCAGGCTACATAACAAATGGTTACAGCTGAAAGCTGGCACACTCCAGCACCCGCTCCCAGCCGGGGGAGAAAGCACACCCCCACCTCGAGAAATACCTCCTTTGCCTTCCAGCCTGACCATAACACACTGACCATAAACACTACAATATCCTAAGTGAAATGACTTATGTAGGCACCTTAGAAATGTGCACCTTGCTGCCAAACTTGTTAGAATATTTTGTAAATATTACCTACAATATGTTGTGAAGCCTCTTGTAGGAAGCTGTGCACAGCTGTGGTAGGTAAATACACTTTTACTTTCTCCTTTCTGACCAGCATTTAACAAACAAAGATGATTTTGTAGCAAGACACAAAGCAAACAAGATAGTAGCTCATTACAAAACACATTCCTTTTTGGGTTTCTTGTCATCAGTTTAGTGTTCACCAACACTTCAGTCTGGTAAGAAACAGTTAAAACTTACTTTGTTTGCTCACAACAGCCTTCATTACACATTCATTACAGCCTTCATTGAACAAATGAATTAATTCTGCTTCAGTCAAGACTACAACTCATCCTTAGCTCTAAAAATGGAAAAATATTACTTAATTCTAAATGAAATTCTACAAAATTTGAGGGCAATCTTCATTTTTTAGAGAATGAGAACAGTTATTCTTTTCTGCCCCAAGTGCTCCAACTGATACTTCTCATACCTTGCATTCATTCCCTGAAAGGATGTGCAGCCCAAGCAGCACTTGCCACTCACAGCCGTTGAGCCTGCTGTGGGGAGGGCAGCTTGCACAGACACACAGCTGCCAGGCACCCTGAAACATGTCCCCACCAGGGGACAGGCTTAACGAGACAGGACACTTGCTCTTCCCTTGCCGTTCCCAGCACAAATCTATGAAACTTTCCCTGAACTTTAGAAAAGCATTCCAGCAGCAGCAAGGGGACTGAACTGCTTCTGACCGAGGGACTGAACCTGGCGCTTCATTCCAACAGACTGAACCAACCAATGTTCCCTCTCCTTTGTGGAAATTACTGTAGTACCTGATCCCATCAACATTTTACTTTTGTCTTCATGATCATGAACAAAACTGAGCCAAAAAGTCCCCATCCCAATGTAAGGAGACAGATCTGTCACTTCCATCAAGGAGCAAATCAAAGCAAGCATAGCAGTGTGATCAGCATGAATATCTCCATTAGGTTAGAAAGTGAAAATAACATTCCTGTATCAGGAAGTTTAGCAACTGTCAATATATTGAAATGAAGCCAACTGAAGCTGTTGTTTTAAAAGAGCAGTCCAAAAGCATGACAGATTAAACCAGCTGTGTAAAACCAATTAGTCAGCGAGCTTTACCCTGTGGCTGGACAAGATGTTGCTCTCAAATAACTTAAAATGGAAAAAAAAAGAAAAAAAAAAGTCTCAAGTAACCAGAAATATTGGACTTCTGTTTAAACTGTCCACTTAAGATTTTTCCATATCTATGCTTCTTGAAGAAGAGAGGAGAACAAGAGGAGGTAATTATGTATAGAAGGAGTTCTTCCAGTCTTGCCTTTAAGGATATACTGGTGATTATATACACCCCTTATTGGCACTTTTGTAGCACTTATGGTTTGCAAGCTTACCATGCTCACTTGCACAGGGAGCTTTCAGACTGTGTTTACATACCTTATGTAAGCCTCCCATCAATTATGTTTCTGAATACTGCTTTATCAGAATGAGTTGAACTCTTACCTAAGTGAAAAAAAGGGGGGAGGGAGTTAAATTTAAACCAAGAACCTGAAAGATTTCATTTTAGATTTTAGCCATTCATCCCAACACCATTTCCTAAATTCTTTTCCCAGTAACAAAGGTGTCCTCAAAATATGCAATCAGAATAGCTGTTCATACACAGATCTCTAGCTCAGGAAAATGATCTCATCCATAATCCTACAGGAGAAATTGGCTACAATTATTTAGGGGGAAAAAAAAAAGTACAGAAGCAGAGGCTCAAAAGTCATTGGGCATACAACCCTCTGTAAAGACACAAGTTAACATCATTATTACTAATGCAAATTCTCTTGAGAGCTAATTCTTTTCTGTTTTACCTCTTCCCAAGTCATTGTCTTTTGTGCCCTCAGAGAAACCTATATGGCTATAAATCATAACAGGCTACAAAATTGCTGGATGACACAGATTTGCAGATAAAATAATGAATTTCCTTTCATGTCAGAGAAGTGTATATGAGCAGATCTTTGCTAAAAAAATCCTTTATTCTTATAAGAATAACAAAAGGGGAGGAACATACTAAATATTTTCCCATATGGTTGGAAGAAAAGGTCACAGACAGCAAACTGTCCCTTTGGTAGGAAAGCATGTGAATAAAATTGTTCTAAAAATGAGGAATGAGGAGAAACTGCACTCAAGTTTGTTTAATTTCTTTGTCCTAACCTAAGGCACCACAACCTCCAATTCCTCTGGTTCCCAGTTCTTCACTGGCATCACTGCCCTCCACACAGTGTTGCAAATGGCAGAGGTGAGTCCAGAGGACAGCGAAATGAGAGCACAGTGCCAGCTACTGCCTGCAAAAGCAATGACTCCTGGCCTGCTAAGAAAAGCAGCAAACTCTCCCAGGCCTCTGCTCACACTATTACACTGCAATTCTTCCACTCTCAGCCATGCTGAACGGGCTGTGCTTTAGAGGTGGAGGAAGACTGACCACCGCTGGAGAAAAACGAAACTACCCTTGCCTTAGAACACTATCCCTTTCCAGTTGCATCCTGTAAGTAGTATTTTATAAGGATAAGCTCTCTGCGTCATTCTCAAACACAGATAACTGACCTCAGAAGTGATGATTTCTGTATCATGCAACACCATTCTGGTACCAAAAAATGACCTTTTTTAAAGTTTATTTTTTAACTAAGCACAAGGTCAGGACACTTAAGTTATTTGGGTCAGGACACTTAAAATTATTTGCTGCGACATTCTGCATTCACTTCCATGTTTGAGATAACATTATTTTTCCCAAATCTGTGTCTGAAGCAATGTAAAGAATGGTAAAACACTATTAAAAAAAAAAAAAAGGCAAGTTTTGACTCCCGAGAACCACAAGCATGATTGGCCCACCCTGGCCCACGGCTCCAACGCTCTTGCGTTTGCCTGGATGGCATTTCTATGAGCCGCTGTTTTCTATGGATGTGACCACTTCCAGTCACCATGGAGCAAAACAACGCAAACACTATTTAAACTGGCATGAAATGTAATCCCATGATTTTACTATTCATAGTCCAGACATGATAAAGCTAAAATAAGCAAGAACTCTCAACTTTTTCAAAACTAACAACCATGATTACCTTAATCTAGCCTTTGCTTATGCGTTACTTCGCTGCAAAGAGGGGAAGAATATTGTCCTGCACAACATCGAATACTCTGTATTTACAAGGCCAGCTTGTTAATCAGAAACAAAATGGCCCTGCTTCTTCTTTGCCACTTGAGTAATCCCAGCAGTCACAGGATAGAGCAAGACAAGCCCCTGTGCTAAATGTTTCTCATTCGGAAGCCCATTATCAAAACACACAGCCCAGTTTTTCAAACATGTTCACACTCGCCAAGTGGCGAATCCTGTTGAATGAAAACATATCGCTACAGAATCTAGAGCAGGGCTCAGGTAGGAAATATGCTAAGTACCAGGTCAGCAGGCGCAGTGGCAACGTCTACGCCCCGCTGCTTATGCAGCTGGGGGCAGATTAGTTCCCCCGGGCCCTGGGAGCCTGAACGGCTTCTGAAATCCTCAGTGACACTCCTCTTCGGAGCCCACGGGCGACACTGGGCGAATAAACCACCAGCAGGATCCTGCCACAGAGAGCAACCCTCTGTGCTGCCGTAATTCAGAAGAAACCATAGGGTCCTAAGAACATATGTTATTAAATTGGCACACTGTGCTATTAAACATAGCTCACTGTGTAAATTTTTCCAGAAAAGAGAATAATAAAAAAAAGTTAAAGGCTGCACCACTGCTTAAACAATTCCTGAGCTCTGAGCGGTCAAATTGTCACTTTGCAAAAACAAAGCCAAGTGAGCTAAAAATCAAGGTTGTGGCAAAACTCCACGATTCTTTCAGGGGGCAAATGGTACATCAACAAAGGGAACACCAGTGCTTTAAAACCAAAAGTATTCTCAGGCTTAAGAGAGAAATTTGTTTTGTAGTCAAGTTATCTAGCTCAGATTGTGGTGGAAGCAGGTAGAAAATTCTGTCTGGCATGGTTTGGCACCTTTCTAACATGATGGTGTTTTATATATTTAATGCCTTTTTTTCTAATAATACTAACCTTGACAGGAAGCATTCAGAAGCTTTTCTAAATGCTCCAAACACAACTAGTGAACTCACACAGCACGGACCTGGCTTAACCTGAATTACTGATTTTCTTAAATAGAATTTACAAAGCTTCTTGACTTAAATAAGCTGGAGAAACCAGCAGACAGCCAAGTTGTATTATCACAACGTTAATAACAGAATGTATGTCTAATTTACAATTTACCTTACAAAATTCTGCTTTAGTCTAAACGGTGTCAGGAGCGAAGTTCATGGCGTATGCACATGACTGCCTTCTGAAATCTCAGTACACTCAAAATAGCAACATGCGGCTTACAAAGGAACTTGCTGAAATCTCTTTCAAGGCAGTGCTTACTGAAGCCCTACAGAGCAGGAGAGGCTGCTTTTTCACTGCTGCAGAAATTTGCAGGAAAAGCAAACAGCTGCAAAACTCCACAGCACAAGGCAGGAGGCCAGGCACGACTTCCACAAACAAGGAACTCCAAACAGGCACAGGATTTGGAACGTGCACTGCCACTGTCAATGCACAGCAACCACGAACACGCTACACAGCAGTCAGATTTATTGCTGCTCTGACTTATCTGAAGCAAGCACCTTAAGAAGGCACAAGGTGCACCATGATATAGACACCTCCTTACATGGGAAGTTTTCTTTGGTGTAAACTGGCAGGAAAACACATATATAAGATCTCACCCCTTTCCCCGCCCCCTCCCCACCATAGCTATGATTCCATCTCCAGACCAGCAGGTACCAACATCCATCCACTCATATGTTTCTCAAGCTTGCTCTCTTTCCAAAGGCAGCAAATAGCCTGAACTGTCAAAAACAGGAGGCAAAGAGTCAATGCAGAAAGATGCAGAAATGCAGGATTTCAAGTAAACCTATGACCAGGCCTCCCACATTCTTGTTACGGACTGCAGTATTCTTCTTTCCTCCATACCACAGGTAGAAACCCAAACTTAAAAGAAAATACGTACTAGCACAACTATCACTTTGGATGCTAGAACTCTCTATTCTTCTCATGTTTAGAGTCTTACAATTTTCAGACCATATGTCCTCAGTCTTACAGTGCACAGGTTTTGAAAACACGTCTCAGGACACTAGAACTCATCAATATTTTCTAACCACTGGCATCTTGCCTTGGAAGCAGAAACCCACCAACATCCATCACACTCCAAGCATATGGAACGCTCCAACAGAGGAGTGCACTTCAACATGAGCCTTCCAAGGCTGCTACTAAACTCATCACATCCATTTCCTGGCATGCAAATGCATTGAGAAATCCACGAGGTAAATATAGTGACCAAAAGTCACCTGGCAATTTTTAAAATGTGCCCAGGTCCATTAGCCTCGGCCCAGGCCTCACCGTCCAGGACCTCTCACGTGCTCTTCACTCCTGCGGAACGAGTTGAGCTTAACCGCAAACTTGCGTGCAAAAAAAATGGCCACAGGGCCGGGGAACGCAAAGGAACGGTGCTCCCGGTCCTCACCGACGGCGGAAGAGGAGGCCCGAGAGGGTAGCCCGGGCCCACCGCCATCCCACCCGCACCCGAGGCCCGCGGGGCCGCCCTGGGGCTGGGCCGGG